CCACCCCTTAGATTTGTCTACCTTTTCCTCATGAATCTACCTTTAATGGAACACAAAATTAAAGACATCCATCTTGTATACCTTTACCTATCAATGCCAGATTTAACTAAAGAATCAACAAAAATATTAATTTCTATAAAAATATGCATAAAAAAACATTACACTGTTGATTTTTATTAAATATTTCAGTTACCTTATGATTTTGAATTCTTATTGTAACTTTCATATTTATATAGCAACACTCTTTCATTTGTTAGAAATTAAGTTTCTTATAGTCAAATTTTGTCATTCGATTTTTGATAATGTATACAGATTGAGATTATAGGATCCCTCGTTTGTACCCAAAATATTTTTTTTTTCTTGTTTAATACTTCTAGTGAGAATGAGAGGAAGTTCTGGAAGCCATGGGGGCGCCATGAACACTGGATTCCACTTCGACATTTTATAATCCACAAGCAAAATTTAATACGATCCTAGCCAAAGTAAGTGGGATTAGTTAGTTTTTCCATTGCAAGCAGTACAAAATACTAATTAAAAGGTGGTATAATTGGTCAAGACGACACGTACAGAAACCTTATCGAAGGAGTTGCTAAAACAAGTAAAGATCTTGGAAAGGATTTTGGCTTGATCTTCCTGTTTATATGTTTTGGTCTTGTTTCTAGGATGCCCTCTCTGCAGATGGACAGCTGGGACAGACTACTGTTGCACCAACCCATCCAACCTGCTCCATTGGGAACTTCTGCTTATTTTTTTGCTTTAATTTCTCCTTAATTTTAAATTTCCTTAAATCGAAACCTCACAGAAAAACATAAAAATCACTTGTACGTTGAATTCTGCTTTTACAAATCTGTGAGTTAAAGAATTTGTCTCTCTAAAAATACCATCAGAACTTTAACTCTTTCAAAATTTATGCAGACAAATGTAACATTAAGGGATAACTCATATTTAATCTGCCAAAAGCAAATTACGGACAAAACATTTATGAGAAAAGTGATCAGATATTATGCATGACAGGTCCAAAATTCATATTTGAATGCATGGTTGGTGAATCTTTGTGAGAGAAAATCTAATGCTCCTATAATCCTAATGGATTGAACGCTTGATGCTAAACCACCACGAGGTCCCTGCAGCTAAAAGCTACCCTTATTTGATCACATGGCGTCCAGTCGTCCACACGGCTGCTTCCCTATCCTATTGGTGGCTACCAAGCCTTTTTCTGTAGCTATGGCGGTCTTGTTATTATTTCAAAAACGACAATTACATAGTAGCTAGATCAGATAGTAGGGTGACAGATAGGACTCCATAGTCCATATAAATTTAATTCGAAGAATGAGAAATGGCCAAGGACAAATGATTTTCCAGTACATGGCGCTTCTCTTTCTTATCTCTCCCTGAAATTTTCAAGAAGATACAGTTACCTACTCCACCATCTCTAGTTTGGCTGATTAATGGTAGTAGTAGCACTATTTTATTGATTAGTTTGTTTAGTGTTTCTGCAATTATATTTGTTTTGATTACACTTGGGTTAAGATCGATGTATCTTTTGCATTCTTAATTGTCGGCTATGGTTGACTTTGAGAGACACAATTTTGACTTGTTCTTGACTTCGATGTCTTGTTCATGATTCCCGCAACATTTCACGTCCCTTTGGAACAACAGGAACGAGCTTGCCAATGATTGTTGGTGAGAGTCTGTGCTATATAAATAGCTGACAGTGGAGATCATGGAGAATGAAACCAAGCAAATGTGGGCTTAGGGTCTGTCTTAGACTTGCTTGTTTCTGAGAATCTATTCGTTACAACCCATGGCAAATTCTGCTAAATTTTGGTACGTGGCTCTTCTTCTTTTAAGTGTTGCTGGTACTTTGAGTGGTGATGAGAGTGGTTATGGAGGTCCGGGAGGTCGGGGGTATGATGATAGTGATAATGAAGACAATAGTTATTGCTCATATAGAAGCTGGCGAAGTTGTGGCAGCTTCTTTGGCAGAGGTGGTAAAGGTTATGGTGGTGGAGGCGGCGGAGGAGGTGGGGAAGGTGGTGGAGTAGGTAATGGTGTTGGACATGGAGAGGGGCATGGTGCAGGAGGAGGCAGTGGCAATGGTGGAGCAGGAG